CATACTATGGACTTCGGACAAGGTGTCGATGTGACCAAGTTGCGAAAACAAGATCAAACAACTTCTATGCAACGAAAACACACTGCGTCTATTCTAAAGGCCACATCTTGGTCTTCATATATTTGGTTAGGGTTAGGGTTCCTGTTCCAAGGATTACTTTTATATAATGCATTAGTATTGCAATTTATCGTGTAAGGATCGTCTCATTATATTTTTTCTGTTTTCGACCAAGATTCCCTATTTGGACCGTCTGGTTGATGCCCCAGGCCTTCTGCGCGAACTCGGCCGGGTTGTGGGCGAGGGATTGACATGTCTTACCTGTGGAGTTCAGTTTCACAAATCAACTGAGAAATCCAATTGTCCCGGCCGCTCAGGTTTGGCTGCCGTGCGAGCGCACATGCTTGACCGTCCTGACGGTCATTCGCGTCTCTGGTGTGGGCCCGACGATCCGGTCGAATTAGCCCTTGCAGTCGCTAAGGCAAGAGAAGAGCTAGGCGACGAAGCTGAGAAGGCGGACAAATTGGCCAGCCACGAACTATCTCGACCGGCTCTCGCCGGTGGTGAAGTGTACCATCGGTTCTTTGATGGCACTCTTCTTCCTTTGCCGACTATATTGGTAAGTGTAAAGTTGCCTATTCTATCTCCAATACGAATCTTTACTCATATTTTCTGAGAATATTTCTTTAGGAGCCTCAGATTGTATACAAGCTCATTTTAAAGTTGAGCTTTGTCTGGTCATACTCGATGCTCAAGGCGATCGCATATCATCAGCCAGTGATGTAAATACCTTCTTCCAGGCGTTGCCTCCTAGTTCAAGCTCTTTTGGGTTCAATTTTATTGTTGAGCTTACTTCCATTTCGAGTGAAAGTGTTGGGTGAAGTGATTCGAAGGATTCTTCACCCAACAAGAGATTCCTCGAAACCCAACTTTTCTTCGTATATTTAATTCTATTCGCTCTTGACTGGTAAATTCCCATCCACGCCCCAGCTTATGCTATTGAAAATTGCCAAATAGGGGCGCAAAATTTGACTTTACTTTGAATGTGTGCGCCATTAATTGATGGTTATTGGTATAAGAACTGCTAAAGGAGATAAACAAATATTATGTGGCAGCTTATTTCGTTCTAGTTTATCAACTTTGGGAAAAATCTTTATATAATTTACGGATCTCGTAACAGTTATTTGTGTATTTCAGAATATTTGCCTCGCGTTTGTATGGCTATGTAAATATGGTGGACTGAACCATGGGAGGATACAGCATGAAAGATAAGACGATTAAGCTGAATATAGGTATGAAGAAAAGCTTTGTTTCGAATAATCCCTAAATAGCCTGATGCTGGAATGCCTTTAATATAGTTCTAGGCGAGTGGAAGGGATTCGTAAGTTGGCCTTGCCGGAATCCGAAGCAGATTGTCTTGGAGCTGTGGCTGTAGATTTGTGCGAAGAAGTTCTCGGCGCGCCGACCCACGACTCCAATTAATACTTACTGAGCTTTCGTCCGTCGTGACGGCCTTTGTCAGACCAGGTTACCATGCTTTACGAAGACAAGAAAAGTCTTGTCTCAGTGTTTTGGTTTATTATCATAAAGCATGGTAACGATGCTCATTACATGAAGGACGAAAGCCCAGAAAGGATTCATCGGAGCCACTAGGCGGTGTACAAATTTACGACCACAGCTCCTCCGGCTTCCGATGAGGCTAACTTACAAATCCCTCCACTCACTCTTTCAAACGAAGTGAAATATATTCCAACCATAAGCCGAATTTGTTGTCTTCTCGCCTAATCAACAACTTTGCGCATTTCACAACAGGACAGATGCGCTCGCCCTCAGCCTTCCTTCAAGTTGACCCTACAGTATGAAGCGTGTTGGTATTCTTGTGAGTCGAACAATAAATT